ATATTGGAGAAAACGGTATTTGCTGACAATTATTGCAATAGTTTCGTTACAGGACCATCATCTTCAAAAGCGGAAGAGCCGGAGTTGGTCCGAGAAAAACGAGACTACTTCTATTCACCATATTATTATGGCAATCAGCTCTTGGTGGCGGCCAATCCACCAAATGTGTACCTACAAAAGTGGATCACACACGAGCACAATCGCTATCGGCGGATGGTAAGTGAGCGACTTCCGAGCTAATCTCCAGTAATGAGACTTTCGCCCCGACATGCTGCTGTTCAGGTGCCCGCATCGGATATGAACATGCTGTACTGGTCTGACGAATTAGCGGCTTCTGCACAGCGACATGCGAACACCTGCGATTTTCGGCACTCCAGAGGCCGGAGGAACATTGGCGAGAATATCTGGGCAGCGCCTTACAGCAATTATTCGGATGCGATATCTCTATGGTTCAATGAGGTTGGTCCTTCAGTGAACTAATACTCACTGCTGCGTTCTTATAGTCGCGGGCATCTTCTGCATCAAAAGCGATGTTATTAAAAGAATCTCTGCCCTAGCTAAAGGCTTCTTAAGTATATAAAGGATGCTTTTGGCTCACTTCTGCCCCTATTTTAGTATGACAGCTAACGTCACTTTTACAAGTAAAAAAGGTTAATGAAAACTGAAAAATGAAAAAGTGAAAAAGTGGAAAATCTCAAGCGGTGGGCAGAATAAGCTTCGAAAATTTGGTGGTGGCTTCGATCATAGGTGTCCACGATGTCATCAAAGTTGATGACGTATCAAGAAGGCGATCCAGCGCTGGCCATTACCAGCCAGCCACAGTCGGCTAAAAGGCGCTCTTGTTGTCGCTCCCACTCGCGCTTTTTCTAGCTTGTTCTCCTCCTTTAGGTCCCGAGGAAAAAATAGTTTCGGAAGACCGAAAAACTTAGAAATCATATGCTCCTACTAGCTTAGTTGCAAATTGCGTAAAAAAACAGGAGACTCATTGTGGTTTGCAGAAAGGCTCAGTTACTGATCCCTTTTCCATGAAAAGCTCATTTGCATATATTTCGGCAACAGAAAAGTAGGTTTCCTACTCGCAGTGGTAACACAGTGATGAAGTAAAAGTGGAAAGGTTCCTCCACTTTGGAACATCTTGCTGACCGGTACTTGGGCAGCCGTTCTTTCGAGCGGAAAGCGTAAATGTATCGGAGTATGAGCCGAATGAGTTCCTCCACTTTGAAGACATCTTCCTAACCGGTACTTGGGCAGCGGTTCTTTCGAGCGGAAAGGTCGAGTACGAGCCGAAATGATGGAAAGGGGTAATTCTACTGCAAAAGGTTCCTTCCTAGTTTAAAATTTTTATCGGCAAACCTAATAGAGCAGAACTCACCTAGTCGCCGTGCTCACCTAGTGCCCGGCTCGCACTTAATTGTCATTCCTGTCGCCTAGTTGCCTTAATAGCTAGTCTTCTGCTAAATACGTACACCTATCTCTATGAATCCTTGCCTTCGCAAATACGAACTTGAACACTGCCTAATGGAGAATGCTAACGCCATTGCTGAGACCTTCGAAATGCTTATGGCAGATGAGTACTTGAGCGTAGCCGTCCAAGATTAGGTAATTTTATTAGGCTAACGTTTCGGCTTCTTCGTCTTCGTCAGAGCCTGGATCAATGCCGCCGTGACGCGAGGCGACCACCCTCGAGGACTACAAGGGAGGTCGTTCAGGGTGTGCCAAGCTTTTTCAAAATGGTTTCTTGCATGACATTGGGGCACATATGGGGACCACAGAAGCATGGTTCATTTTTCCTGAACGGCTCTCTGAATACCAGAAAAGGGGTCCCTAGTTCGATTCCTCGTGGTGACAAATTTTTGCATTTCGTGTTGACGTTTCCAAATTCGCGCAAAATGGAGTTAGCATGAATAATTAGTACCAAATTCATGATTAGGAACGTCAGTAACCCTTACAAATAGACTTTGATTGAAAAACTGGTGAAAAAGTGTGACTAGGGACCCCCTTTTCTGGTATTCAGAGGGCCGTTCAGGAAAAATTAACCATGGTTCTGTGGTTCCGCATGTGCCTCTATATCATGCAAAAGACCGTTTTGAAAAAGCTTGGCACACCCTGAAAGACCTTCCTTTGTTAGTGTACTCACCTGATCCAACTATGGCATCATTAAAAGAAAGCCGATCTTGGATTCCACAGCTAACGAGCAATTTTCAGGTGCATAATCCGCGATGCGCTTGCAATCACGCCTACAAGCACTGCTGTGGACACTACGTTCAGGTGGGATTTTTGTAGATTACAGCGAAGCAGAACTTTTTGGAAGCCATTTAATAATCCTCTAATCCATCTTGAATCACGGAAATTTGTCGTGAAACCCATGCTGGCGATCACCTGTGACGCGTTCCGCTGCATTCTGATCCTATCATATCCCAGTCCTTTGCTGATTGATTGTCAACTTCCGGCGCGCTCGCGATGCGATTTTTTCTCGTGCGCGAACCGTCTCCGATCAAAACAAATCGTCATCACTCCTCACGCGATCGTTGAAAAAAAGGTCAATGGGCTTGTCCGAGGGGATTTTCGAGGGCAAATCCGGTCTTTCCCTCACTCTATTCAGTATGGGAATTTTTAAATTATAACTGGGGCTTCCCTCAGGTGAGCGGTATCCCCACACCAACATCAACCGGAAGTACCATAGCGATATCCCGAAAGAGTTTTTCCCATTAAGAAATTCCGTAAAGTGCCTTTGCAACCACCATTCCGCCGACCATCGAGGGATACGGCCATGGGGATCGATTGATAAATGATGATGATGGTTGCGAGCTGCTCATTGGCGGCGATTACCTTCGCGCATTTCCACCCGCTCCGACCATCGCTCCTCTGCAGACTTTTCGGCGTCCCCCATTTCAACCCTGAACTTGGCTCTGTTGCAGGTGGTATGGGCAAAGACGAACTTGGTCGGTTGTGGTTTCGCCAGATGTCGTGACGTGCAGGGTGTGCTCGGCCGTGGTCATCGCAACGTCTTCGTCTGCCACTACAATCCACAAGGAAACACGGTATTCGTCACTGGATCAGGACAGCTTTACGCGGTTGGTGGACCCTCACCCCCCGTTAACCCTAACCCTTCTTCGCTGATTCTGGTAGTTTTGTGGGCAATGATGTCATCGATGGCCAAAGGCTGTCGATGACGCCATTGCCCACAAAAACTTTTGAGGGCGATGGCATCGATGTCGTCGCCCTCAAAAGGTGCCACTGCGTCGTAATACTCTCACATTCTATGTACCCAGGCCGCTAACCATCCAACTAAGATGTCTGTACCGCTTTGGCTCATTGAAAAAAATCTCATGAAAACTAATCCTTTCTAATCAATACATATCAAATTCATGTGTCCTTTGATGGGTGATGACCCAAATACTCACATCGTGGAATGTTTAATAATTTCTTGATAACCTGTTTGGCTCGCAGCGCAGCGATTTATCAATCATGTAGTTGGTAAAGGTCAACAGCGGCAGCTCCATGCCTATCTCACCACTTCTTTAAACGGAATGCAAATAGTTTGGGCCTCACTAACGGCTCCCAGGGGGAGGGGACTATGGCAACATGAAGTGCAAAAATGGGGGTTTTCCTGCGCCTAGGGCATTTGGTCTTCATTATCAGCACCATATTTAAATCTAACGTTGGGCAACGTTGAACGGGAAGAGCTATGGATAACCACTTGGAGATACTTCCGGTTTTTATCAGAGAAATATGTTCTAAGGGACTCCAAATAAATCCCCTGCCTTTCAGAGTGTGTGTTTTTGGAGATCAGTGCAGAATCACAGGTGGACTACGAAGAAGTCTACAGGCGCCGCGACCATTCTATTCTTACACATTTAAAAGCTAATTTTAAAACTTGAGTCTTTTATGAGTGGAGAGATGTCTAAAAAGATCGTATCTAGCCTGAAGAAAAAAAGGCTTGATCTCAACAACTTGTCAGAGAAATATGCAGATTTTACCACACGCTGTTTATGACCCACTATCAGGTTCCGCTTCACATGGGCCACCGGCAACAAGGGCCGCTGTTCGGACTGTCCGCCGTCGGCACCGGCCTGCTTCCAAGGGCTCTGCTACATGCCAAGCGTTCACCATACTGCCGCCCCGTACATGCCAGTCGAACACCACACATCCACTGCTCCTCACCTGCCACTGATTTCTCCCAGTCCACGGAGTACACCGACTCGACCGAGTCAACCACCTGGAGCGACTCTACTAGTTCACCTGATCAAGACTTCAGGTTTTAAGCCGAAGTTATGTTGATGTATGTCATCTGTTCGTCAAGAGTCTCATGGTAAGCGAAGCCGCTGTAATCTTGGCTGGCTGCCACGAATACACTGTCTTGATCTAAGCCAAAATACTGCCTCCCATTAGGGATTACTATTTGCTATTTATTGAAGACGCAGTCATTCACATGCGGGTTGTTGTTCGGCGAAATCGTCGACGATGCGAATGTTGTACGAATAAATCATTTCAAAGTTATTCTGTTGTTACCGACTTGATCACCTTGAACAATTAGTATCTGATGACTGTTGTAAAATGCACGACAAGGAGGATTCGGAAACATGTAGCTCTTGAGCACTGCCAGGAAGGCCTTTCAGGTCATGCCCAGCTTTTCAGAACGGTATTTTGCACTAGAGGACAACGCATGGAGCTATAGTCCATTATTCCTGGAGCGTTTCTCAACAACAAAAGGGGATGAAATAATTCATGGCTCGGTACTCCTGGTAACCAAATTTTGCACTGCAACTGGCGATTTCGTTATGGAGCAAAATGCTGCCCACAGCTAGTAGCGAATGCAGTACCATCACTTCCATCAATGAGTCATAGGAGTAGGTTAACATATCAGTGGGCTGATTATTTTTTGGACCATGTTACCTAATCTCTAGTCGGATTGATTGAGAAAGATTTCTTCTTTTGGGTGGAGCAAAAATTTGTCTACAGTAAACGATAGCGCAAGTCGGAGGTGAGGCTTTGAACACAGACAATTATCCGATTTGTTCAAAACGTGTAAAGCAACCAATTAATTCTTGAATCTTGGTAGACGATCGTCTTAAAATTTCAGTTACCACTCCTAGAGCGTTTATCTGGCCTTGAGGAAATGTGAGATAGAAAAAAACGACAATTTCTGATTTTTGTTCATAACCCAGCGTTTTTGTAAAGCTTCCCCAGGGCGAAAGGCGGCCAAAAACAGTAATCATAAACAAGTCAGAATTGACCTGAAAAATTAGATCTGTAATTTGATTCGTGCTGTGACAAAAATGGTAAATCAACAAAAAATTAATTACTAAAGCTTCAGACCTCAATAATTGATTTTTTTATTGTTCATTGAAGATATCTGCTAGTCGGCTCACCACCTTACACGTGTGAGTGCGGAAGCTATGATAAATATACCATGAAACTGAGTTATGGCGAAACGGTGCCTCACAATCAGAAGTGTAACTTGTACTGCACTTGCCCGGTGACTGGGAAGCACGGATTCAAGTCCCGCTGACGGGAGTTTTATTCTTAATCCAGCATTCTTGTGAAAGAGACCGCGTCATGTTTGAAAACGACTCCAGAAGGGCTCAGACACCCTGGCGCCGTACACACGAGGTTAGCGGGAAATCGTAACGCCATTGTGACAGTGCCGAATTACATAAGTCGCAATCAACAGGCAAATCCTTCCAAATAGATTGATGTTGAGAGGGGGAATGTGAAATACTGAAAGAGGTATGTAGCCAGGTGGAAAAAAGAATGTTCACGTTTCAAATCGTGCCCTGACTTACCCCTCTCACGTCGAACACAGACTTCTGCTCTTGTGCAAGTATTATAATTTCCTATGGCATGTCATTGTGCAAGCCGTCACTGCACGAATCTCTTCAAGGTGACCTCTCTCTTCTTTCGTACCCTTTCCTTTC